CAAGAGGAAGAAGAGAGTTGTGTGGGTTTTGGTGGAGTTGTAAAGCTTAGGCAATGGGTCTATTTACAGCTTTCCCCAAACTAAATCCTAAATGGAAAGGGATTGAGATTTAAGTTCAACTAGGTTTCCTAAACCTAAAAGGAAAAAAATAAGATTGAACTCAAAATAGGATTAGGGGAACAAGAATTGAAGTATTTTTGAGTTTAAGGAGAGATTTGAAACTTAAATCACAAAGGATTAATGTTTGACCTGAAATAAAACCCATAAAAGTCGAAAAATGAAACCCAAATCACGAAGGAAAACGAAATTCGAACTACTGGAAAAACAGGGCAGGCGCCAGGCGCCTGCGTGATTTATATTCGCAAAGGGCAGGCGTCAGGCGCCTGCGTAAAAAAAAAGTTTTTTCAACTTTTTTTTTTCTTTTTGTCTTTCAATGTTTTCAAAAACATTCTCTTAATAAGAAAAACTTTTTATAATTAAACAAAAAGAATGTAAGATACACAAACTTCCTTCCTTTACTTTTGTTCTTTCAAAAACGGATAAGAAGGAAAAAACATTTTTCGCAAATATTTATTGACCTGAAAGTTGAATAGAGGTTTTTCCTCTCTCCACTGGTTCTCCAAAATACGGCTTAAGTCGCTGCCCATTTACTTTAAAAATACTTCCCTTAGAGTCAACTCAATCCACTGCCCCATATGGGTAGACTTTAAAAATTTTAAAGGGACCAGACCATCTAGACTTAAGTTTCCCAGGAAAAAGTTTCAACCTAGAATTGAATAATAGAACCAGATCACCTTCTTGAAGATTGTTTGGCCGAAGACGCCTATCATACCACTGTTTAGTTTTTTCCTTAAACAGCTTAGCATTCTCATAAGAAAATTGCCTTTGACTCTCGATAAAGTTCTCAGCATCTTCTTCCAATAAGATTTTGTGCATGCAAAAGGTCGGGCTTATCCCTCGGACATCTGCTATCGTCCATCCAATGGCCTTTTTGTGCTTCTCCAAAATCTGCAATAAAGAATATTCATTAGCAGGTGATAAATTGTAAGCTATAATAACTGGTAAAGTGTCGTTATCCCCTAGATACGCATATTTCAAATGCGACAGCAATGGCTTCTGCTCCAAAGTAGGTGGTTCCACTATGGACGGAAGTAACGACTTGCATTCTTCTTTTTGTATTTTTTCAACAGGATTAGTCACATCTTCTGGTCCTTCTGCTATCTTATCAAGCTCTTCTCCAATCTCTGTAACTAAACAAGTCATAAAACTCATCAAACATAACAAGATTCAAGTTAGTTATAGCAGAGCACTCTTCAAAGTCTCCTGGTAATTTCATGGCGTCTAGAACGTTAAATTTAACTTCTTCATTATGTACCCTCATTGTAATTTCT